AAACATGCGATTTATGTCAAAATGATGTCAATCATCACTTATAATGTGATGAACAATAACGCACATGAATTTGCACAAAAACCATTAAAAATTTACTTTAATTTGAAGGATTTAGGGTTAGGGTTAGGGTTTAGGATTTGGGGTTTAGGGATAGAACTCAAAATTGGAGGTCTAGGGCTTAGAGTAATCCGCTAATTAGTTGTTATCATATGTTATATCATCATATTAAACTAATTCTACAAATTAAAATTCAAAATTCGACACCTTAATACTAGCTTTTGAGTTGGGTGCACTGAACGCACTCATTTTTGTGAGTACACTAGAACTCAAAATTGGAGGTCTAGGGCTTAGAGTAATCCGCTAATTAGTTGTTATCATATATATATATATATATATATATTCAATAATTATATGTGATGCTTATATTATATTTTTTTCTCTTTTCATGGAGGTCTAAAGTTTAAACATATTATGCATAGTTGGATCACTTTCAAAAATATTATGTGCATAATTAAGGTATAAAACAATCATTTCATTCATTTCAAATCATCTATTATATTCATTATTATATATCATATCCCTCGACAAAATTAGGGCTGGCTATTTGGTTCGGGCTATTTGGTTTTACCCGAAACTGGACCGTATAACTCGGACCGGAATCGGACTGGAACCGGATAGCAAACAATCCAATCCCATCTTCAGGCTTAGATTTGAGGTAAAAAACTGTTTGGGACTAGATGGAAAACTTGATAAGAGAGCCCAACACCCAAAACTTAACCAACTCCTCACCCTTTGAGGCTTAGCCACTCAAATCCCCACAACCTCAATCTAAAATCAAGACCAGACTGTATTCACTCCAATCTTTGGTCCTTATATTATCGAAAAGACCGAACTAAAACCGGACCGTACCGTATAACCACCTCTAGACAAAATTCTTCCGGCCAACGGGTCGAGCCCTATGCTAGTAAGAAAAACGAACAACATTGTCAAGTTCGACCAGAGTGATGTTGATGTTGTGGTAGAAAACGTGATTGAAGATCTTGAGCCTTAGGAGGTGATGCAAAGCAACATAAACCCATGAACAGACCTTCAGCATGGAAGTCAGTAGAAGATTTTGATGTTCATATTGTGGAAACGTGCATTTTCGCTTTTCCGGTTTTTTTGTAGAAGGTGCTCAATGGTGGGTCTAGGCATTTTTATTTCCAGTTGCTTATTATAAAATGACAAAAAGAGTCTATAATGTGTTTCAGTGATGTTGAGATATGGGTTAGAATTCAGAAGCAAAAATTGCAACATTCATCCATTGAAAATAACTGGTATGAGGAATAAGCTGAAGCGGCCATATCGCAACACTATGGTTGACTGAAAAGCAGAGGACAATTATCGAAGAAAACTCGATAAAATATTTTGATTACCACTTAAATTTGAGAATAAAGATATACATATTATTTAAATTTGAATAGGGCGTGAGATACCATTAAAGTCATCAAAATGTGCATCTGTCTAGTTTTCCATTCAACCCAAACTTTTAATTACTTTTTGCTACCCAAAACTTATAAAAACATCCAAAACTATATTTCAACAAGTTTTATCTCATATAGAAATTAGAAAAAAATTAAATATGATATTACTGGCTAATCAAAAAGTTTCAATAAAATAGATAAATTAATAAATATACTAATATATAACAAATATACTAGAATATCAAGATGAATAATAAATATACTAGAATATATAATAAATATTTAAAATCAATATTAGAATATCTATTTAAACCACTAGTTAAAATAGAATATAATCGATCATCAATACATCAAGATCAAAGAAGGATAAATGGAACACAATCAGAAAGAATTAAACATATTCCAGTGATTGAAAAAATTAGAAAAAAAAGATGGAAAATAACCGAGTAATAAATAAATTCCAACTAAGCAAAATTCATAGGATATTTGCTTCAGTGAATAATTCAATTAGTATAAGAAATAATGATAATTGAAAATAATGATAATGATAATTTATTCTAAAAATTATTTTGGTATCAAGTATTCAAAAGAGGATTTCAACTAGACAATAAAAGATGATGTTTTTCATAAGTCCAAATGATTTTTTACAATAAGAAAAGTAGGAGGACTAATTATAAAATTTAGAAAACGGAATATTTCAAACATATTCTGTAACTTTAAAGGAATGCATTAATAATAAATTTAAATGGCACCGAGTGCACATATAATAAAGCTCAGTGGTATGATAAGTGGTATATTTTAGTGGTACCCGGGTTTAATTTAGTAGTACCCGGGTATAATTTAGTGGTATCCTGTGCGTTTTAAATTCGTTTGCTTGTTTGTGAGAACTCGAACCTTCGTTTGCTTGGTGGTCTAACGCCTAAGGGAGCTAGGCATTAAGTACACCCCATCTTATGCATAGCACATTTACGAACATTGTTCACAATTATTAATATTATTATTATTCTAAATGAACGAAAGGGGGGCCTTTCAAAAAAACTTGATGAGAGGATGAAAAACTCAAAGTTTGGATGTCACTGATATGGTTTCTAGACCTTAGCGCCTTAGACAATGACGTAAAATTTTGACGAGGATACATGAATGAAGGAGGGGGCGTCGGTTAGTGGTGTCAAATCGATTTAGAGTTGAACCGAACCCAAACCAATAAGGGTGTTTTTTGGGTTTGGTTTTCAGTTTCAACCCTAATGTGTTATTTATCGATTTCAGTTTTGCTGTAACACGAACTAAGGACCCGAAAAACTCAATAAGGGAGTATGAGCTCGCTATTTAGGTTTGAGAGAAATGTATTCGGGTTCCGAGTTTGCTGCAAACGACCTTAACCCGATAAGGGAGGTTTCGGTTCAGGTTTTGCAAGTTTTGGCTTGTTTTGGGTTTTATGATTTTTGGGTTTGGTTACCCGAACCGACACCCCTAGCATCGGGTATTTGAGATAGGTTAGGAGTGAAGATGGAAAGAGAGAGGTTAAAGGAGCATAGATGGAACCAAGACGAACAATATAGTGGGGAATAAGAAGGAATGCGATAAATGTTGGATTGAAATCCATCAAAAGTAGTAGATGAAAATGAAATCATGGTTTGCCTATCAATTAGAGTTAGCTGGAGAGCCAAAGAGGGGAGCAATACAAGTGGATGAGACCAAATTGAAGATAAACCACACTTTAGACAGGTCAAGTTACTATACACTTGGAAAGAAGTCCAAGAACATGAGACCTAATTGAAGATAAACCAAAACAGAATACTCTGACATAGTTTTCTCTATGTTGGCACACTACAGCCTGACCAAGACGTTATTGTTTGCTTGCAATGCAAGAGAGACCAACTCCCCCAGAATTATAAAACCAAGCAGAAGCCAGCACAGGAGTTCAGCCAAAAGAATCTTGTTATTTTCTACACTCTGATACTTTGTTCATATTTTTAATAGGAGTGAGAGGCTCTGACACTTTGTTCGGAACGTCAGAACAAAATAATATAATCGAGAGAGGACCAAACTATGACTAACTCTAGTTCTGCCACCTAAACTTTGCTTCTCATCCAGAACAGCCCCTCAACTTTGACCAGAAAAAAATCCTTAGAAAGTTGCAGATATGGAGGAATGCTAAGCCACCTACCTACTCATCCCATTCCATCAAAGCTCCCATTAATTTCTCAAGTTCAAAGTCTGCTATGGAGACCATGAGAGACTAATCAACAGTATAACAGACAGACTCACCCCTGCAACACAGTAGACACACCCAACATAGAATCTGTAATCTTTAGGCTTCCTGGATAAAGGCCGGGCACAATTGTTCGAAAGTCATGCATTCAACACCGATATCAAGAGATGTTGTGAGTGAAGAGATGGGAGGAATGCTAACTTTCTGAAGAAACCAAATGCAGAAACCTAGCGAACCCCGTTTTGAAATGCCTCCAGGAGTTTGTAAAGCAGCAACAATAGCTAGATGAACGGATGAGCATGGTTAAATGACGAGAACAGTAACTTAGGGCTACTGGGAATGTTCTGAATGAGCATGTTCGTGATGGAAGGCATGCATTCCAGTGTAAGAGTTAGGGTTGACATGACTAGAAGTATGCAGGATCAGGCAACTGAAAGAAGCGAAGCGATAGAGTGGTGGAACTGGAAGCAGTGGGAAAAAGAGTGCTGATACAGATACTTGAAGAAGGCAGCAGATGAGTAGATTGCAACAGAAATGAACTTAAATCATGATAAGTAACATGACAACATGCATACTCACAGCATTCAAATTGTGTCTATGAAGATGATCAGCTTCATTAAGCATACCCCCACCCCACTCTTTAATGCAAGTCAACTAGAAACAAGATATGTATGTAACAATGATACAATCATATAACCACCCCGGTTCGATTAGCATAATTCTGGAATCCTAATCGTGTTCGTGGAGATTGTCAGCTTAAAGGTACCCCCTTCCACCTCCCAATTGATTCCCTTGAGACTACAAATATAGACTACCAAGAGAAAGTGACTGTAGATACCTAGAATCTACAAAACCAAACAGCCTGCATATACAAATCAATTACAAACAACCTTTCATGACCCATCTTCCATAATCTCCACCAAAATCATATGACAGCGCCTTGATGTAAGACAACAAGGGAAGCCAACTAGAAACAAGATATGCATATACCACTGATATACCCCAATGGCCAAGATATTATTCATGCAAATACAGAACTTGCAAACTTTACTTGATTGAGAGAGGAAGTAGGAAGCAAGCAGCAATGCCACCACATGCTAAGAGCTTTTCCATGTGAAGAGAATGGCTATTCTCACATGATTGAGCTAACCTGCCCTTTGTATATATACATTCCGGACGACAAATGGAAAACACATCCCATTCGATTCTAATCCATACAAGCAAATCAACGTCAAACATGAGTTTTCAAGAACATTGCAAGACTACATACAAACAAAAGGTGGAGGGAGGAGACTTCGAAAGCAAAGCATTTACCAACTTCTCAATCAAATTGAGGAACCTGAACTATCTCCACCACCAGAAGCCGAAGCTCTCCAGCCACCAGAGGCAGCAGCTACCCCTTTCTTCCTCTTCTCCTCCTCGTACTCTGTATCATCAGTTGGCAGTTCAAACCTACAAATCGGGCAAGAGTTCCTCGACCCCAGCCATGGCACAATGCAGTCTCCATGGTACCCATGGCCACACGGCAACTTCGTTTCCTTCTCACCAACATTGACCATATCTTTACAAACAGCGCAAACCGAAGTCTCCCCCTCAGATGTTACCTCAATCGCCGGTAAAGCAGACACGGCTGATTTCGACGCCGGAGGAGCGCCTTTCCTTCCGCCGTCGCTGTCGGCTAGGTTCTGCAGCAGCGCCTCGTAACCAGCCGCATCGACGTAATCCTCTGGATTGCCTATGTATCTATCTGACTCAGGGACTTCGAGGCGGAATTCGATCGAGTTATCCTCCAGTCCCATCAGGATCTCAGCCCAATCCAAAATCCGGTTCCTCCCTGTCCTGGTTCTGGTCGCGAAATCGCGGATTCGAAGGCGGAGAATTTCGCGGCGCCTCCTCCGATCTTCCTCGTCGTCAACGTCGACGTCCCTATCAGATCGATCGTCTCCATCTCCTCGCTCGACTTCGCCCCGATTCTCTCCCTCGTTCTCGTTCCCGTCCGCGTTCGAATTCACTTCGTCTTCTTCCTCGACATCATCGTCCTCTTCCTCCTCTTCGCCTTCTTCTCCATCCTCGGCCTCGTCTCCTCCGTTGTCCCATCCATCGAGGTCGATTCGGAGGAAATCGTCCTCCGATTGAGGAGCGTCGCGGCGGTGGTGCGAAGGCGGGGGAGGAGGAAGATGCGGCGGCGCTTCGTCGTCGTCCTCCTCCTCGCGAGCGGCTTGCGCGATTATGCGAAGCATTTGGAGGAACTGAGATCCGAAGGTTTCTTCAGAAGGATCGGAGATCAAGGAAGGAGTGGCGGAGATGGACGGCGGTGTGGAAGGGCCGGCGGGGATGGATTCGACGAAGCCATTCTTGCAGTCGAGGCAGATGACGTCGGGGAGGTTGGCGACGGTCTCAACGGAGACCCGCTTCTCGCAGTGGTAGCACCAGTACTGAGAGGAACCGTCGGTGCCGGCGGCGGCGGAGGAGGGAGACGGGGTTTCGGCCATTCGTTAAAGAAAGTTGTATCGTATTGGTGGGAGAGAAACGGCTGGCCGAGGAACGCCCGGTTGGAAAGAAAAGGGAAGGGGAAGAAAGAAATACGAGTGGGCAAAAAGATTACCGAAGCAAAAATGTAAAAGAAAAAACGAAGGTAAATGAAATGAGAAAGTCTGGGAAATAGGCAAAGCACGCGCCCCCAAAAATCCAAGTCTTTTTATTTAAATTATTTCTAAAGAACGAGAATACGTAGTTTCGCGGCTAATAAGGTGGTTATGTTAAATTTATTTCGGGCTGAATTTAATAAGGTGGTCCACGCAGTGTTGCGTATTGACAATGTCACATTAGTTGGGCGATTATGTTAAATTTATTTCGGGTGGTCTGGAAAATTAATGTCTAAATTTCTATCTATAATCTATATTTCAAATACGTTCTAACTCTTAAATAAATATTTTAAGTTTTTCTTAAACAAGCTTTTAAGTTTTACCTCTTCGAATTTTTGAAAAATATTTTAAAATTTTCATTGTGTTTGTGTTGGTAATTGTGATTGTTGATAACAATGAAATTTTTAAATTTTTATCAAATGACATGTTCACTATTAATAAAAAGGAAAGAAAGTAGTTTCTAATAAATGGTGAACTGAATGACTTATCTTTGACTTACACATGCATTTTGGAAGCTATAGAGTGTTTTCGGTGAACGTTTTACCTAGGGGAACACGATTGATAAAATAATATAGGGTAAATTGCAAGGATGGTCACTGAAAGTACTAAAAAATTTATGTTTGGTCATTAAAAGTATTTTATTTCATTAATGGTCACTGGAAGTAGTTAATGTTTCACGTTTGGTCACTCTCCGTAAGTTTTTGTTCGCCTCCGTTAACACCGTCAATTTTTTGCTGACGTGGCTAACAGAAGTGCCTAATCAGCTTAATTAAAACTGTCACATCATAAAACGCGACCCGCACATCAGAAATCCTAACCCAAGCCCTACCTTTCTCTTTTGACCAATCAAACTCATGACCCCCTTTTCCCACCCAAAAGTCATCCCTACCACAGCTTCAAGATAGAAACGGTGACCCCCTTTTCCCAATCTCCCCGTCTGTGTTCTCAGATTCTTCGACTAGGTAGAGACACATGATAGAACCCACCAACATTTGCATACAACACCAACCAATGCTTAGTTGTTCCTCTCACATTGGGTATTAGAGATTGGTATCGACGCTTGGGTATGAAGTGGGCGTCGCCGCAAGAACCCACCCCGCGAGATGATGAAGAAGCCGACTGTGGGTTTTAAATCCTTAAGGGTTCTGTATTTCAACGGGGTTGGTGTGGTTCGTTGGTTCGGTGGCTGCGCTTTATGATTTAGGATTTTGTTTTCTAGGTTTTCATAAAGGGTGGGGGGGTTTTAGGATTCAATTTGGCTGGGAGGGGATTTCTATTGAAGTTGAAAGTGAAAGTTTGGATCGGACAGTGGGGTTTTTTGTTGCAATCTTTGTCACTAGTTAACTTGCTTCTCACTTTGGAGGGTATCAAATGGCGTCTAACAACGCGCATTGCAAGGTTTTTGCTTTCAGCGATGGACAGGGAAATTGAGGATAATAGAAGAGATCAAAGTCGGACGAGAGCGGCGACGGAGGCGGCGGCAGGACGGTAGAGATTCCTCCTCTGCATCCTCTCGTCTTCACCTGCGAACCCTCGACGCCGTTGACTTGGCTGGGAATGGTGATGCAAGTGGCATCGGAGTGTGGGGTGAATCCCAACACCTGCTCCGGTTGCAGGCAAGGAGGGTATTATATGATCTCCATGGACACAACACATCCTTCATCTTCACCGCCATCTCGTTTTCCTTCATTTCCTGTGCCTCTTCGATCGTCCCAAGGAAGAAAGCAGAGTTGTTGATTAACTCAATTTTTAGGTCGGGTGGGTCAAACAAGAAGGTTGGGTTATGGGTTGGGATTTTTGAAGTGACAGGTAGGGGTTTTATTTTATGATGTGGCAGATTAAATTTGGCTGATTAGACACTTCTGTTAGCCACGTCAGCAAAATACTGACGGTGTTAATGGAGGCCAACGGAGCCTAACGGAGAGTGACGAAATGTGAAATATTTAACCACTTTCAGTGACCACGAATGAAATAAAATACTTTTAGTGATCAAATGTGAACTTTTTAGCACTTTTAATGACCAACCTTGCAATTTACCCAAATAATATAGTTACCTTCTGTTGGGGGCATGGATTGGGTCAGGTCGAGCCATTAATAACATCGACTGCCATGAGAAGGGATGCGAAATACTAAGGCAAGAGGCGATCAACCCTTATCCGCGAGTACGTAAGCAGCCGCGAGCACCATAATACCTCCCTCGCTAGTGTGTCCTCTCACGCCGAAGTTGGTACAGGAGTAACAGTTTTACTCGCGGACAAGGTGGCAAGGTTTTACTGATAGCCCATCATGTCTCACTTGTAGACCACATCATACCCTAGAGACATTATCCTTTTTGGACATGTTCTCAGGTAGGGGTGGGCAAACGGTTCGGTAAACCCGAACCGGACCAAAACCGAACCAAAACCGAAATAATGCTATTCGGTTTGGAATTCGGAAGGAAAATATGGATATTTCGGAAATCAGGATTCTTACAACCGAACCGAATTTCTGACCGAAAAACTGAAATACTATAATTGCAACCTCCAAATGGTGGATTTTTATGTTTGTAGTTGTTTGTAGACTTAAAAATTTGATATGTTTTATGACTTATGTGTTGAAAAGTTTGATTTTATCATTGATGATGCATATAATTACATATTTATTGTTTATATTAGGGATGAAAAATAATTTTAAAGTGAGAAGATACAAGTAGCCTCACAAATTCGGTTTTGTGTGAAAAATCTAACTGAACCGAATTATAAATCGGTTTAAACCATCCGAACCGAATTATAATTCGGTTCGAATTCGGTTTGAGAGAATTCGGGGACCCGATATTCATAATTTCGGTTGGTCGAAACCGAACCGACCGGATGCACACCCTTTTTCTCAGGATACCACCCTATGAACCCCGAAGACGAGGAAACAACAGCTTTCATGACCCCGTTTGGGAACTTCTGCTACGCCGGAATGCCCTTCGGGCTGAAAAACGTTGGAGCCACCTACCAAAGAATGATCGAATCAGTGTTCTAGCGGCAGATAGGGAGAAACGTCGAGACCTACGTTGATGAACTCATCGTCAAGACCAAAGAACGTTCGAATCACTCCACAAGCATAGCCTCCGCCTCAACCCGTTGAAGTGCGTGTTTGGCGTCGAGGCAGGAAAATTCATGTGGTTCATGATAACCAAGCGCGGAATCGAAGCGAACCTAAAACAAATCACAGCGGTTCAACAGTTGCGCACACCCAGGAATGCAACCGAAGTACAGTCGATAAATGGGAAGTTAGCCGCGCTAGGAAGATTCATTCCAAGGTCTGCGGACAAGAGCGCTCCTTTCTTCCACACCCTGGAAAGCGGCGCCCGATTCGCATGGACATCTGAGTGCGAAAGCGCGTTCGATGAGCTGAAATCGTACCTTGTATCCCCCCTGTATTGACTGCACCTAAGCTTAATTAGAAATTGTTCCTATACTTTGCTGTGTCGTCCCGAGCCGTGAGCACGGTGCTAAAATCCAGAAGAGAAATCCAAACAGAAAGACCAATATACTACACATCTCGAACACTGTCAAATGCAGAAACAAGATATTCGCCACTCGAAAAAACCGCCCTTGCCCTAGTGAGTGCATCTCAAAAGTTGCACCCATACTTCCAAACTCATTCAATAACAGTCCTCACTAACCTCCCGCTCAAGAAGATACTAAGCGCAAAGAAAGCATCAGGAAGAATGACAAAGTGGGTAGTTGAGTTGTTAGAGTATGACATTCAATACACGCCAAGACTAGAAATTAAAGCGCAAATATTGGTGGATTTCATCGCAGAAGGAGTAGTCTTAGACACAACACCACATGGGGTGTGGGATGTACACGTCGAGGGAGCATCCAGCAAATACGGAGCAGGGGCATGAGTCGTGGTGCGTACTCCCACAGGAGCAATACATGAAATAGCTATCCGCGTCATGACTCTGAAAACAAATAACGCTTCCGAATATGAAGCTATCCTGGCCGGTCTGGCGGCCGCCAGGGACTTGAGCTCAAACACGGCAAGAGTGCTATCAGACTACGCATTGGCAGTGAACCAACTCAATGGAATTTTCGACGCAAAGGATGATGCACTCGCGCAATACATTGAGCAAGTGATAGAGCGAGCCGCAACGTTCGAGACGACAACTTATGTGCAAATACCGCGCGAAGAAAACATCCATGCAGACGCGCTCTCTAAGCTCGCAACCGCCACTGACTTCGAGTCATCACAGTTAGTCTCGGTACAATAGGAGGACTAAGAGAACCATCAAACCGGCGCGTCAATGTCACACAAGGGGCGGAAGAAGATGACTGGCGCACACCGATTGTAGAATACTTAAATAACGGTACGATCCTAGAAGATCCAAAGGAACCGTGGGCATTGCGACAAAAAAGCATCGCGTTGCATTGGCGTCGAATTACATAGGCGCTCACATTCTGGGTTATACCTCAAGTGCATCGGGCCGGCAGAAGCGCAAAGAATAGTACAAGAAGTACACGAGGGCCTATGCGCAATGCACAGTGGCTTGCGCAGTATGGAGCGCACCATCCTACTCCATGGTTACTACTAGGCGAGAATAAAAAAAGATACAAAGAAGTTCGTCGACCGGTGCCACAAATGTCAAGTTAACGCGCGACAACATCACCTACCATCCACAGAGCTCCAAGGCAACTTGAGCCTATGGCCATTCATGCAGTGGGGGGTGGACCTCCCGGGACCCTTCCCAACAGCAAGGGGCAAGCATAAATACATCATAGTCATGGTCGACTACTTCATCAAATGGATCTAAGCTGAGGCACTAGCGTCAATCACCGCACAACAAGTCATCCGTTTCTTGAGACATAACGTACTCACGTGGTTTGACATCCCCAATTCACTTGTGTTTGACCATGGCAAACAATTTAAATGTGCCGAAGTAATTGATTTTTGTGACCAGATGGGCAGAATAGCATGCTTCGCCTCAGTCGCATACCCCAAGCCAATGGTCAAGTGGAAGCGACGAATAAAGTGATCCTACACGGGCTACACACCCGCCTGAAAGAAGCTAAAGGCAATTGGACAGAAGAGCTCCACACAGTACTATGGGCACACAGAACTACATTCAAGATAGACACAGGAGAAATGCGGTTTGCGCTAACATAAGGTGCAGACGCGATCATACCCATTGAAACATCCACACCAACTTACTGAATCACGATGTTCGACGAAGAGAGCAACAAAAATGCCCAATTAATAGAGCTGGAACTAGCAAATGAGCGAGGCGAGTTAGCATACATCAAGCTAGCGGCGACGAAGGCACAGATAGCAAAGTACTACAACGCAAAATTGGTTCCCAACAATTTGAAACTAGGTGACCAAATGTTGAGGCTGAACTTCCGCCCGGATCCAAGACAAGGCAAGCTAGCACCCACATGGGAAGGACCTTAGCTGGTCCGAGAAGTTATTGGCGCCAACACCTTCAAACTACGAGAGTTAAGCGGAGCCAAAGTGCCAAGAACTTGGAACGCCTGAATTTGAGAAAATATTTCCCTACTCTTTAGCCTATTATACAAGTGTATGAACGGCGGTTCATCGCGATCAATAATGCATGACTACTATTACCGCTACTAAACAGATAAATATGAAACAAAGTAATCGTGCGGTCATGACTTACGCAAGTCGAGTAAACATAAGCAATAGTGCACGCAAATTCAATACGATAATCATGAATTACGCGGATGGATTCAAACTTTGGATTGTTTAAACAGGGAAAATGCAGACCGAACATTGTTCCAAAATACAAGTTAAAACGCGAGTACAGTTAGACAAATTTCACCTAATCGATCACGACATTCTCTGCCAAACCCGCGTCACCCTCCTCATCCTCCGACTCTAAATCAGGGTCCAGCGACCGCCTTTCACCTAGCCAGCGCTGAACATGCCTAACCATAGCATTGGTGTTCCAACACACACCAGGGTTCTCTGGCCGCACCTTCTTGCGGATGACTATGACCGCTTTCGTCATTCAATCTGCCAATATCTTGTGAAAAGCGGTCATCTTGTACTAACGAATGGCATTCGCCTGAGCGTCACGCACGGTATTGGCTTTCGCCACCTCGTGTACAAGCACCAGATCCTCCTTCTCCCTCTGGAATTCATCTCGCGTATTCTTCAATGTTTCAGCGTGATTTAGTTCGAGGTGCCGCTTCTCCTCAGCAAAATTCTTTCGCAGTTCTTCACGAATAACATCTACCTCTTCCGTCCGAGCTTTCTCCTTGGCCTCTCGGATCTCGTCCTACAGCTTGCTTTGCAATTCACCCAACTGTTCAAACGCTTCTTTGGCCTTCCTAGTAGCATCTTCCACGCGCCCCTCAGCACCCTCGACCTTCCCCTCGAGTTGCAGGCTCCTCTCCAGTTAAGCTTTTAAAGTTGTGGTGTCATTGGCCCTATCATGTTGGGCGCGGAATGTAGCCAACAAGCCCTACACCAGAAAACACGCCAATTACCTTAGTAAAACAACAAAACAACAACACAAAACAAAAATAAGAGAGAGTTAACGAGTAAAATACTCATAGTAAAATGGATTTGGGCCAAATACTAGAGTGAGTCGTTGCTCTCCATCCGCAGTGGGATACTCAGCACTGGACCCACCGCATATAAAGCGTGATGCACATCACTTAGCGATGAAACGGCGCCAGAATGCAACCTCATATTACGAAAGTGCGTGGGAACGAGGGTCTCAAACCCAGGCATCTCGGGCAATGTCTGCTGGACAGTTTGCCCCGAGCAACTCCCCCCGAGCGCCCTATCAGGTCGAGGCATCTTGTTAGCCGTGGGCTCTCGTATCACAACCTTGCTCACGGGCTTCACCGCCAAACACGCAACCTTGGAGGCTTTCTCAGCTATGATGGGAGTATCGACCTCTTTCCTTTTCTTGTCGGCGTGAGTTGCCTTGGGAACTTTGACAACTTCGTCGACATACATCATGCTGACCACCGCCGAGTAATCCACGCCTGCA